TGCAAGGAACCCCACGTCAATGTCAGAGGTATCATTATGAAAACCTCCTTGGAGACAGAGAGAGTCCTTGAAGCCTACTGGCTGTACTCTAAAGGGGTGACCAACACTACAATTTAATCTTTTTCCTCCAGCATAGTCAGAGAAACATTGGTGGGGATCCCAAGGAGCATGGGGGAGCCCTGTGCCCTGCATCAGCCAAAATTGGGCTGGAAGCATTTAAGGCTTTATGAGTGGCCTCTAGAATATCAGAAGTTTGAGCATCCAGATCAACTCCCCATGATTTAGGCCCCATCAAGAGGTGGTAATGTATCTGGGGAAACATTATTTTTATTAGCAGCTTGACTTGTTCTTCAACCATGAGTTCTCTGATCTTATCTTGCAGGCCACCCCCATCAGAAACATGTATAGGGGCCACCCTATTCCAGCACACTGATTTACCAACCATGTCAAGACATGAGGCTTGGGCATACTTTGTACTTCCTATTACTATTGGATAGGTGGACCAATCATCTTTAACACTTCCAGCCCGTGTCCTCATAAGCTCAGCAGTCAAGTAAGTTTTGCTATCTATGCCTATACATTTTTTTATAGAGTCATAGCAGGAGGAATGCATTTCTGAATACTAAGAACAATTCTGAGGGCATGGCCCTGGCTGGCTGCCTTTGTTAGGTATCATGTGGGGCTTTAACATACACATCCACATTTTAGTCAAACCCCTGTAACTGAGGGTGTAGCAACAAGGAATGTTAATTTGTCCCCACAATCTGTCCGAAAACTGTATGTATACAATTTATCTTTTGTGTGGGAAGGATCTCAATCCTTGTTTCCTATTTTATGTATAATTCCCCCCCCCCAGCTGGTGTCTTTACCTTTAGCAATATAGCCCCCTCCACAATCACAGGGGCTCCCATACAAAGACCTTAACAATTGTTCTTTGCTTACAGGGGGACCAAAGCCACTGTGCAAGGTCAGCATCAATATTATTAAAATCAAAGCAAGCAAGCTAAAACAGTTCATGACTGGTGCAATCTATGTTTTAGTCAATTTTAACTTTAAGGGTTACCAGCCTGCTGTACAGTCCATTGAGAACACTCCTCACTGTCTGTTGTTTTCAGTGGTTTGACGTTAATATGGTGAATCCACACAGTCTTTCCTGCTACCTTGATGGCGTGAGGGTGCTGAGCACCACGGTGAAAGTTCCTTCCCAGTGGGGTTCAAGGGAGTCGCGGTGGTGGTGTCGCACCAACACTGGAGTTCCCAGCTCGATCGGTGCCTTGAGAGGCATCTCTGAAGGTAGATCCAGGTGTTTTTGTCTAAACAGCTGGTGGATTGGAGTCAAAATGGGTTGGAGAGTCTGTAGGCACTCAGTGAGATCTTGATTAGTTATATCAGCTAGTTTATCTTCTGAGAATCTTGGAACCAGTGGTGGGGTCCTCCCAAACATGGCTTCAAAGGGGGAAATTCCAGAAACATATGGGTATATCTAGCTCTTAAAAGTGCAAAGGGAAGAAGGCTCACCCAATTATTGCCAGTTTCCAAGGACAATTTAGCTAAAGTATCCTTAATAGTCTGGTTCATGTGCTTTACTTGCCCTGAATTTTGTGGCTGATAGGCACAGTGGAGTTTTCCAATTAATCGTTAATGCCTGGGATAACTTTTGGGTGACTTGGGCTATGTAAGCTGGGCCATTATCGGACCCCATTGATAGTGGGAGGCCAAATCGAGGTATGGTCTCATGCAATAGCTTTACAACTACCACTAAGGCTGACTCAGATTTAGTAGGGAAAGCCTCTACCCAGCCAGTGAAGGTGTCTACTAATACCAAGAGACAGCGGTGCCCCTGTAAACCAGGCTTTACAATGTCTGTGAAGTCTACTTCCCAATGTTTTCCTGGAACAATTCCTTGATATTGGGTGGTCTCCAGCATAGAGCTCTTGGCTGAGTTGACTAACAAGCACTGTGGGCATCTGGAGCTCAAAGACGTAGTCAGTTTGGAGAGTTTTGGAATAAAAAGCCAAGTTCTGAACAATTCTGCAAGTTTAGTTCTCTCTAAATGGGTAGTCTGGTGAGCCCGGTATAACAACTCCCATCCTAGTGCCTCTGGCAACAGTACTCATTAACAGGTAACTGGTATCAGCCCCCTGAGGTGGGGGACTTTGCTCCAAGTTGAGATGCTAACTGTAGGTCCTTCTCTACGTAGACTGGTTCTGATAAAGTGGGAGGAACCAACATCAGAACAGTTACCTCCTTGGTTGGCCCCTCTGGTGTAGTGGCTATTTTTTTGAGCAGCCTGATCTGCCAAATTGTTTCCTAGGGTGAATAACAGCAACTTGCTGAGGCAGCCAGACTGCTGCCAGCAAGTCTAGGATCTGTGGAGCATTTTTTAATGTTAGTCCTGGCAAGGTTAAGAGACCTCACTCCTGATAGATGGCTCCATGTACATGTACAGTAGCAAAAGCATATCTACTGTCAGTATAGATGTTTACCCACTTTTCCATGGCTAGTTTTAATGCCTCAGTCAAAGCAATGAGCTCTGCCTTTTGGGCAGAGGCGCCAGGCTCTAACCACTTAACCCAGAGTACCTCCTTTTCAGTGGTCATTGCTGTCCCGGCCACTCGTTTGCCGTTCTGGATGAAGCTGCTTTCATCGGTGAAATAGTTGTTGGCATTTCCTAAAGGCTGGTTGGTAAGATCAGCCTGTAGATTCTGCTGCAGGTCGAGGATGTCAGCACACTCATGGAGCGGTGTCCATTGTTCCTCCAGGTCATCATCAAGCATAAGGGTGGCTGGATTTAAAGCTGAAGAAGTCTTGAAAACTGACTCTGGGTCTAGAAGCAGGGCCTGATAGTGTAAAATTCTAGCGTTCAAGAGCTTTGATAAGGGAGGGATTTTGATAAGAGTCTCTGAACTGTGGGAGATCACCACAGAAATCTTCTGTCCATAAGTAAGTTTTTAGCCTCTTTAAGTAAAATTGCCACAGAAGCTAGGATTCTCAAGCAGGGGGGCCATCCTGCTGTCACTGGATCAAGTCTTTTGGAGAGGTAGGCTATAGGCCTCTTTCAAGGGCCAATGTTCTGGGTTAGGACTCCTTTGGCAATGCCCTTGAGTTTATCTATGAACAAGTTGAACGGCTTGGTAATGTCAGGGAGTCCCAGTGCTGTGGCCTCTGTCAAGGCCCACTTGAGCTGCTGCAAGGTCCGTTCACATTTATTAGTCCAGTTCAGTGAGTTTTGAGTTTCTCCATTACAGGAGTCATATCTATATGAGGTGAGCTTTTCAATAAAATTTAGGCTACAGTATCCAACTGCCCCCAGAAACTCTTGTCTGTTTTTTAAAATTTTTTTCTCATAGAGCTAACACCTTGATTATCTTTTTGTTAGTAGTTTCTTGTAAATTCTCTCAGTTCTCAAAGACCTTTGTGCTATCTCTATTAACTGACTGAGGGGCATTTTCTCAAATCTCTCAAACCTTTGCAATTTTTATCTAACATGTGGGGCCAACTGAGTTGCAAAGAGAACAACTGGCAATACTCAGGAAACCTCCTTACCTCTGGATATGCAATCAGGGTGAGACAAAAGGCAAACATGGTTTTGGCATTCTGGATCAGAGAGCAGGCTTCATTTGGATGGCACACTGCTTTTTGTCCCAGGGTGCCGCGTGGCAGGCCATCATTTTACTGAAATTACATTCTTAACAAAAAAGGGCTTTTTTATAGGTAACAAAATTGTGCCGCATAATCTCCCAGATGTTTACAGCACATGCAAGAACTTGTATCTTATCTCTATAATCACCTATAATCTCATTTTAATGGAAACATTTTGCAGCAAAAGTTTACCAATCTTATAAATAAATCTACCAAAACTGATCTAATATTGTCAAATTCTGAACACATTTACTTCTTGTCAAACTTGTTATTTGCAGTACTATAAACCAAGACAAATAAAATTCACATCCTTTTGAGCTTTTTACAACTTACAATATACCCCCAAGTTGAGCTTTTTATCTTCTTCCACATTCTGGCACAGCCAGACATTTTTACTTGAAGACAAAACCACTTTCTTTGTCCCTCTTTTTCTTACTATTTCCAGTCAATTACCTTTCCTCTCGCTTCTCATACAACATTAAAACTCTCAACAAAACACTTGAAGTCACCTTTTAGTAATCTAAAACATATTTAATTATTTTGTGTCTTTTTACCACATAAAAATGCTGTATTTAAAAAAAAAAACTGAAACCTTTTAACTGGCTCAAATATAATATGACCTGGTGTTTACTTGGTAAAGTTGATATGATTCTTAAAAACTATAAATATACATATATATGTGCACATATGTTTACATTTTTACCAGAAAGAAAAATACTCTTTTTTAAAAGGCATGCCAAGGTTGCAAGTAATCAACTGAGGACTAAAACATTAAACAAGGCACCACAACATTAAAGACACAAACAAAAGTTGCTTCGTGCACAGTTTGGTGAGCTAAAGGAAATAATTTTCTATTATGAATCTTGAGTTTAATAAGCCTTATGGATCCTGCAACAGAAATGGGTAGCAAGCCCCTAAGTTAGTAACAAATTCAAACAGGCAGACAGTTCTAAAGTACAAAAACACTGAACATAAATATCTGAATCTCTTTGTGTTTTTTGGGCTCGTAGAAGGGGTTCCTAGGAGAGAATGTTCTGTTAGATTTGGGGTAACCAGAAGGAGAACAATTAGAACAAATGGACACACAAACAGACATACAAGACAAGACAAGCTGCAGCAAAATTGCCTTTGCTCAAAAATTGGTCAAATTTTTGGGATCTGGAGGAGTTAACAAATCAACCAAAGGAGCAGTTCCCCACCCAGTGCAGAGTCAGAAATGGATGAAGTTCGTCCCAAAAACTATCCCAAAAAACCAATTGACTCTGTCCTCGGGAGGTCCCCACTTCCCAAATTGAGGGTGTCTTCTCCCCAAGAGTACAAACTGACCGCAGCCCAAACAAACCCTCCAGAGTACTTACTTTTAAATGTTCAGAAATAAGTCTGGGGTCTTGCTCCCACCCCGGATGAGCCCCCAAATGTGACAGCTCAGACCCTGGAATAAAACCCAAGAAAGCAAGAAATTAAAATTTGGGGAGCAAAGGCTTTATTTTAGGCCAGGCCTGGCATCACAGTCTCCAGGAGCCAATTTGGAGACTGCACACCTTACAGCTAGAAAGGTTGGGTTTTAAAGCTGAAAACCACAGGAATGTTGTAATCGCTGACACAGTTAGGTAGCATCTGGGATTTATAGAACTTCCTGTAATTTCCTTGAAGTTAAGCATTTCTTAAAGAACAGCACATTTTATTACAGATAGCCAGATGAGAGGTAGGGGAGGAGGTTACAGGAAACTGATACCTAAGGCTTTTACAGCTTTCTCAGGAAACTGAAACTTAACCTAGAAAGATAAGAAGGGAAGGGGATTTATAAGGAACTGAAACTTAAGTCTTTACCAGAGATGGAATTTTAATCTCTATTCAAATGGCACATACAGAACAGGAAAGGGGTGCAAGTGTTAAAACTAGGCTATAACATTTACTTGGTAAAGTTAATATGATTTTTAAAAACCATATATATATATATATATGGTAAATATATATATGGTAAAATCATATTAACTTGGTAAAGTTAATATGATTTTTAAAAACCATATATATATATATGTGCACTTATGTTCACATTTTAACTAGAAAGAAAAATTTTTAAAAGGCATGCCGAGGTTGCAAGTAACCAATTGAGGACTAAAACATTAAACAAGGTGCCACAACATTAAAGACACAAACAAAGTTTGTTTCAAATAGGCAGACAATTCCAAAGTACAAAAACATTGAACATCAATACACATGGGCAAAAGACCCAAAGTTACAGATGGACCAAAGGGCCCATACCAACAGGCCGGAGCCCCAAACAAGCTGAAGCTACACATTACAAATGGGCGATAGCCCCTGGAGTCCAGTGCAGAAGGAGCCCTAGCTCATCTGCATGATTACAAATGGGCAAAAAAGCCCCCACATGGGCCAAAGCCCAAACAAAGTTATGAATGGGCCCAAAAGCCCTAGAATACGAAAGGGGAAAAAGGTCCTGAGAAGTTGTCTCACTTTATCTGCAGTTAAAAATGTGTGCACTCAGATTATGAACAGGAAAAAAAAAAAACCCAGATACTTACAGATGTTAGACAAAAAACAAGTCCCTTGGTTCCCAGGAATTGGGGACCTCCCGAAGGGGGCAGAGTGTGGATGTCGCCATGGTGGAGTCAAGGTGAATTTGGTTGCAGTCTGCTTCAGGTCCAGATCAAATTGGAAGGTGAGAAGGGGGCCCAAAGACATACCAACAGACAATGTGGTCAGTGCCCATGTCAAAGGATCAATTGGGTGGGCCAGGGGCCATTTGTCCCTATCAGCCACTCTTGAGAAGCAAAACTCATTAGTCTTCCTTTGAAAACAGGCTCCCCTAACCCTCAACCCATCTCTCAAATTCTTTTAAGTGATCAAGCACAAGGCTAAGGGACATGCTGGATTTAGATTCAGTTTGCTCCACGGCCGGCAGAGATGTATTTTTTTTCTCCTGTGGGAGCATCTAAGAGACAGAAATAAGATTAGGAGGAGGAGACAGAATAACAATGAGATGCTGTTTGGGGCTCATAGAAAAGGTTCCTAGGAGAGAATGTTCTGTTAGATTTGGGGTAACCAAAAGGAGAACAGTTAGACCAAATGGACTCACAAACAGACATACAAGACAAGACAAGCTGCAGCAAAATGGCTTTTGCTCAAAAATTGGTCAAATTTTGGGATCTGAAAGAATGTACGAATTGACTGTAGCCCAAACAAACCCTTCAGAGTACTTACTTTTAGTTGTTCAGAATTGAGTCTGGGGTCTTGCTACCATCCCAGGCGAGCCCACAAATGTGATAACTTGGATTCCAGAATAAAATCTAAGGAAGCAAGAAATTAAAATTTAGGGAGCAAAAGCTTTATTTTAGGCCAGGCCTGCCTGGTGACACAGCCTCCAGGAGCCAATTTGGAGACTGCGCACCTGACAGCTAAAAGTCAGGGCTTTATCTTGTAAAATCACAAATAGCTGCTGATCTCACAATGCAAGGAGGGGGATGGGGGTGTGGCACACTACAGAACAGGAGCACGGTGAGATTATATTTCTTGGGAAGAGCAAGATCAGGTAAGGGTTGTGCTAACAAGCAAGTTTCTCTGCAAACAAGAAAGTTTAGATAAGAAGAAATCCTGTTTTCCTCAGCAGAGAATAGAAAAGTCTAGCAGTAATTAACAGCCTTTGTTAGCTTATTTTAGCACCTCATCTGTTATTTTTGGAAGGCAACAATGGTTAACATATCAATTAGGTAAGATTTTACAATTCTTTATAGGAGAGCATTGATTAACATATCAATTAGATCACCCAGAGGGAAAAGGAAAACACATATACAGTAAGGACACATTACAGGTTTTGCTATAATACACATATAATGAAGCTATTTTTCCTAGAGTACAACAGAAAGAAGATGTGTATATGTATGTATCATGTACTTACTCCCTAAGATATAGGTAAACTTCATGTATAACAAAAATATACTAATAAAATTTAAAAATTATACAGAGCTAGTTTTGATACTGAGAAAAAATGCATCCTTCCTTTTTCGCCTGCCTGCCTCCCCTTTTTTCTTTCTTTCTCCCTTCCCTTTTCAAGAATGATAGAAAAGTTAACTCAGATCTAATCTATCAGCTGTGCTTATGGTATAATAATAGTAAGTCATACATTTGGAGTGTGAGCAGCTAAAGGCAAAAGTCAGAACATTAAACTCAACTAGCCACCCCACTCTCATTTGCTCTGTGGTGGGTATAAATCTTTTCCTGTATTTTGATCACTGGTGTTTATTTACTTTTCAAACTGCTTACATTATGAACTCAAAAGCAATCAGAATCATCCATCTTGGCTGTGACAGGTTTTTTTCTTAAAACAGTACTCCCTTTACCTTTTTTTCATGTAATGCATAATTTCTGAGCACTTCCAACGTGTTGCATTGTTCCAGACAATGGGGAGGGAAGACCAGACAAGCAATAGGTCCAGCCATCACACAGGTGGTGTGCTTGGCCCATCGGAAGAATCTAACACAGGCACTACAGATGTGGAACACAGCCAATCCTTGTCATGGCAGTTCAGCAGAAAATGCAAGTAAATGAGGAAGCCCAGAAAAGATCACTTTGGCTTAGGCATGTTTTTTCTATTGGGTTTCAGAGTGGCATTTAGTATGAAAAGATAAAATGAATTAGGATGAATAATATTTAAAGGGCTGTTCTAGTTGCATATCCTTAATCCACACTCACATGTTCTGTGACCTTAGGCATGGAACACAATTTTGCTAATTTTCAGCTTCATTTGTATTCTTTAATGGAGAAAATATGAATATTTCTCTTAATACATTTCCTTGAAAATGAGTATTTTCTCATTTAATTATAAAATTAAATGAGATCATATTGGCAAACCATTTGGTCTACAGTGCTGTTTTCCAGCCCTATCTTTTCTCATCAATGTGCTTTTTTGGTTTGTTTTCCCCTCTAACCAAATTCTACATTCCAATCATAATTTAATACTACAGATGTACTGTACCTGTGTTGAGGGCTGTATGTTTATTTGGTAGATCTTTATGCATAAAATACAGGGGAAATTTTTCACAGAATCAATAACTGGAATCTCATCTTATTAAAAGGTTTTTGCTTGTCAAAAGAAATCACCAACAGGGGCTGGGGATTTAGCTCAGCGGCATAAGAACCTGCCTGGCAAGCAGGCAGTCATGAGTTCAATCCCTGGTACTGATAAAAAAAAAAAAAAGAAATCACCAACAAAATGAAAAGAAAACCCACAAATTGAGAAAAAAATCTTATTGAACTGACCCTCAGATGAAGGACTTCTATGTAGAACATATAAACAATGTAAAAAAGATCAGATCCCCCAAATTCAAAGACCCAATCCAAAAATGTGCATCTGAGATGAATTTACACTCAGATGAAGAAGAAGATGAAGATAGAAGAAGAAGAAGGAGGAGGAGGAGGAGGAGGAGGAGGAGGAGGAGGAGGAGGAGGAGGAGGAGGGGAGGAGGAGGAGGAGGAGGAGGAGGAGGAGGAGGAGGAGGAGGAGGAGGAGGAGAAGAAATGGCAAACAAATGTATGAAAAAATGTTCAGTGTCACTGGTATTTTGAGAGATGCAAATTAAGGCAACACTAAGATTGCACCTTATTCCAGAAAGGATAGCTTATATCAAGAATTCAACCAGTAACAAATGCTAGTGGGGTGGGGCTGTATGGAAAAAGGAACCCTTCTCTACTGTTAGTGGAAGTACAGACTGGTCCAATTAGTGTGGAGGTTCCTCAAAAAGCAGTATTGGGGATCCAATTCAATCCAGCTATTTCCCTTCTTGGTATTTTCCCAAAAGAATTAGAAACATCATACCACAGCAATATATGTGCACCTATATTTATAGCGGCACACTGTGTAATAGCTAAATCTTGGAAACAACCCAAATGGCCATCACATGAGGACTCAATAAAAAAGGTGTAGTATTTTTATACAATAGGGTACTGTTCAGCTATACAGCTGCATAAACTTGAGACTTTTATAGGTAAATGGATGCCACTAGAGATGACACTCCTAAGTGAAACAAATCACACATGTGTAAACACTGTATTATCTCCACAATGTAAGAAACTCAAAGAGTAAATAACATCCAAAAGGTACAACATATATTGTGAAAGGGAAACTGCTCAAAAGGCAAGAACAACTGGGATGGGGGAAAGGATAAAAGAAGGAAGCAGGAAAAAAAAACATATATATATATAATAGCTAAGATAATTGTACTACTGATTCTACTAGTTCATGCAAAAAAATTGTCAGTGCTGTTTGACCTGTTTTGCATGCCTATATCTTGCAATCTGAGCAAATATTTTGAAGATAACATGCAATATAGTGACCATCGTTAATTTCTAACAGCTTGTTTTGAAATCCTGTATAGCTTCTATTGCTTCATTTTGTTTTTATTGTTTTGTTTTCTTTTAATATTTTTCAAGTAAAAAAATAAAATAAAATATAGTAAATTCACCACCCAAGAAGCAATGTCCACCCCTCAGGGATGATGGCTTTGCACTGAGAAGCCATGCCCCAGAATCTGGCACAGGTACTTGAGAAGTTCTAGGAAACAGAATAGTGTTGAGAAGAAAAACAGAAACTGAACGCGATTCTGTGTCTCTAGACTCAGAGAATTTGGACCCATTTTGGTATAAAAAAAAAAAAAGTGACAAGAGGCTAGGTCAGTGGTGACACCCAGGAACAAAGAGCCTGAATCTAGCAGAGGCTGGGGTAGGGTGGGTGG